TGCAAAATGTTTGGCTGGCAGGACAGCGGAGAGCCTCCTTCCCTCCCTCTTACTGGAACGCAAAGAAAAGGCTGTTAACCTCAGCACCCCTTCCTGTCTGTAAGCAAACATCTGCCTCTAACTGGGGCAGAGGAATAGCCCTACCCATCCTCATGCTGGAGATATGAGTCACACTGGCTTAGGCGGAATGTCCCCGAAGTTTCATGCTGAGCCCAAGGGGGGAAGCTCATTGCCTAACCTCACTGGGGAAGCAGAGCTGACCCCTGTGCTATGAACCCTGAGATGAGTGTAGAGAGACACAGGTAGGGAAGGATGGTGATCAAACCTGATTGTCTTGGCTGGGGTGAAAAAGGCCTGACAAAAGGATAGAGCAGCTAGGAGGCTGTGCCTCAACACAGAGACACCTTCGCCAAAGGGGGCTGCCAAAGGTGGGGGGAACCCTGCATCCTTACCTCACCAGATCTTGGGTCACCAGAGCTACAGCAAGGTAAACACCCAGGCTACGTCTAGACTGGCCACATAAGACGGAATAGGCATGCAAAGCAGGCAAGTCAGAATAGGGAAATCCGTGGGGGATTTAAATATCCCTCGCGGGATTTAAATAAACATGGCCACTGCTTTTTTTCCGGCTTGGGGAAAAGCTGGAAAAGAGCGTCTAGACTGGCGCGATCCTCCGGAATAAAGCCCTTTTCCGGAGGATCTCTTAGGAATAGATGCTCTTTTCCGGCTTTTCCCCAAGCTGGAAAAAAAGCGGCGGCCATGTTTATTTAAATCCCGTGGGGGATATTTAAATCCCCCGCGGATTTCCCTATTCTGACTTGCCTGCTTTGCATGCCTCTTCCGGAGAAGGGGTCAGTCTAGCTCAAGAACATATGCAAATGAGGGTTGGCATGCCTCATTTGCATATTTAATGAGACCCCATTTTGTGCAAGAAGGAGCAGACTACACTGCTCCTTCTTGTGCAAGAGGTGTTCTGCCGCTTATTTTCAGGCAGAATGGCTCTTGCGCAAGAAGGAGCAATGTAGTCTGCTCCTTGTACAAAATGGTAGCTCATTAAATATGCAAATGAGGCATGCTGATATTCATGGCTGTGCCTCATTTGCATATGTTCTTGTGCAAGGCTGGCCAGTGTAGACATAGCCCCATTTTGCAGGGAGACAAACCTAAAGGCACTGACTTTGAAAAGTGCCAGGCAATGCTTGATCTCTGGATCTGCCCGAGGCCTTGTTCCCCCTCCACCACTTTCCCTATGGCCCTACCTCTTCCTGCCCTGCCTTTTCCCACCAAGTTCCGCCCCCTCAGAGCATGCTGTGTCCTTGTTCCTCCTCCAGTTCCAAATGCTGCAAAGCAGTTGATTGCAGCATATAAGAGGCACAGGGAGGGAGGAGTAGGTGTTGATTTACTGGGCCTGCCAGCAGGAAGGAAACCCAGGCAAGAGCTGATAAGAGTCTGCTGGTGGACTGCTCAGCACGCACCAATTTTTGCAGCCCCCAAGCATTTATGGAGTCAGTACCAATGCCTACACCAATCATCTCCCCCATTCCTATTTCGGTGGGAGAGTCCTGAAATGTACATTTGTTTCCAATGCCCTGCCTGAGGCTCAGGGATGTGTGACTTAGCCCCTCCTCCTGCCCCAAGGCCCTGCTCCCTGCATCTCATCTTTCCCCCTTCCTCCCAAAATCCCACCCTTGCCAGGCAAGTAGTATATGTCAGCCAGGGATTCTGCCCTAGCACCAGAGTTCTGTATCGCTGATTATTGGGGAGGGCAAGCCCCTGCATCTGTGGCTAATACTTGTGGGTTCAAACTTCTCAGGGCACTGGTTAAAGTGACCCTGCTTAGTTTGACTTTGAAGGGAGAAGACATGAAGTTGGAATTTTTTATAATAAAATTAATCCTACACACGTCTCCATTTGTCTGTCTGTGGGTGGAGATGATTAAGTTTGCTCTGAGGACAGACTAAAAAACTGTATATGGGTGATATCTCCCTGCCTAGATGGAATGAATAGGCCTCAAAAATTGGCCGAAACCTACCCAGATCAGCAAGGGGTCCAGACAGACAATGCAAATTCCAGTGACTCATGAATGGACTCTACAGTTGGAAGCTCCGGCCGGGGAAGTTGTGAACTCAGCATGATCCTGCCTGGAGAACAAAGGACGGAGCTGTAGACAGGTGTGGATATAGAATTGGCTGCTAGAAGAAAGTGGAAGCTTTGGGCGAAAGCCTAAGACCAGAAAGCTAGGAATCTTGGCTTTGGGTTGGCCTCTCAGCTATTCCAAGGACTTTCAATTTCTGCAGTTAGGTGACCAATAAATTATCTTGATTGAAAGTCTCAGAGGGTAGCCATATTAGTCTATAACTGTAATGAGTAGTCCTGTGGTACCTTAGAGCTTAACAAAAATATATATAGTATCATGAGCTTTTGTGGGCAAAACCCACTTCTTCAGATGAGCTCGAGTGGAGGAAAACGGGAGAATTCAGAACAGAAAAAGAATGGAGGGGAAAAATACCTGTCAATTGTAGTGCCGGTGCTAATGAGGCTGAGTGGGTGGAAGTGTCCCACGCTTAACTTTTGATGTCAATCAGGTGTTAAATGTAAGGAAAGCTTGTTTTATAATGGGCCATCCAGTTAGTGTCTTTGTTTGGGCCAAGGGAAAGTGGGTCAAATTTGCATATCAAGGTCAATTCCACACACACTTTCTGTAGTTGACTTGTGAAATTCCTTTGTAGAAGAACAGATTGAATGAGAGCTTTGTGGTACAGAAGGAGCCTTCCACAGGAGTCTGCCTTGACTGGTTTAATCACAGAGACAGGGATTGTTGGTACTAAAGGCCCTGTCTCAGAGTCTTGGATGACACAGGGCTGCCCTGGTGGAATTGTGTGAGCCGTTGGGACCCAGCCCATTAAAGAGGTTACAGCCAAGAGACTGATGCCCGGTATAGATTAGAGTCTGTGAATTTATAATAGGCCCTCAAATTTCTTACTCTCCAGGGATGTGACTCCAGCTAGCTACTATGTCTTGGGAAAATTAGTGACCTGTAATTGTTTCCTTTGAAACTGCTCTGACAGGCTTCTCACACAGCGACTTCCCTCCCTACTGGAGTGTGTGGGGGAGTGGAACTGGAAGGGGGGGGGGTAAGGAAGTGGTGTTATATATAGAGAGGAAATGTTGGTTGGCTTTTGTTTTCTTTTTTAAGATCTTAAGCCTTTGTTGCTTGGCTTACTTTGGGATTTCTGATCCCTGCACAATGATGAGACTGAGCAGGTGGCGTGCAACTGCTACATAATGAGGAGCCCTGGTTCTTGTTCCCCATGCTTACAGTAGTTTAAGGACTCATAACCTTAACAATTTTGAGGTATGCTTCAGCTTTTTCTTTAGGAAGCTGAAACCCAGAAGTGAAAATCCTGTTGTACTATCTTCAGAAAAGCAAAGTTGTACGTCACTAATTTTCTACTTCCTGAAGATAAAAATAGAGCAGCAGAGTGAAACAGCTATTCAAGTACATAGTTCAAAAACAGGAACTCCACTGAAATGCAAGATTAAATAACACTTGCAGTTGGGGGAGGGGGAAATCACACAGCTAGCATCAATTTAAGATTAATTTTATTAAGGTAAAGCTGGGGTGCAAAAATTGATGAATTATAATGTGATTTTTAGAAAACTAAGTTAGAAGGGGCAGATTTTGTTTTGAGGAAAGATAGCTTCTGAAATGTGCATAACGTAGTTCAGCTAAGCTTCTGTTCTGCTAGGTGTGGAAGATGGGAATGCTGTGTACATAAGTGAGAACAGAATTTTTAGGCTGTGATTTGCCCACTGGCTATGACAAAAGGTGAATTTAGTTTAAAAGAAAAAATAAAGGCAAATATACAGAAGTTTAAAACCCCCAAGTAACTCATGAACTCTAGCCCTGCCTGTTTTTTGTTCTGTAAACTCTTTGAATTATTAGAACATCCACAGCTAAATATAACTTTCAGATTCCTTTTGTAGTCCAATTTTGCACTTTTGGGCTCAGTTCAAATTTTTGTTTTTTAAAAATGGAAGTTTGACCAAAACCAGATTGTCCTTTTATATGTTATCTGCATGGGGAAAACCCCAAAATGTTTTTTCCCATATACAATTTAATTAGAAATTTTGCATACAGATATTTTGAGTGATGTCTGAAGATAGACCAAAGGCTCATTTTTTACATGACACTGAGATAAAAAATGCAAGCCATGACCGAATAGAATGTATTTTGAATAGTTATGAGAATTAAAAATCTCAAATCTGATGCCTGCACTGTAGTTTTCTTTAAAAAACAACAATAAACAAACAACAAAACCCCACAAACTTGTATGGGGTTTAACATCTTGTATTTCATTATAAGGAAGTCAATTTTACAATTGTAAGACTATCTGCATATTCTGTGTAACATTTCCAGAGTGGATGAATTGACAGATCTTTGGACCTTTCCATTGTATGTTCTCACAATGCATCTACTCTGGAAATGTTGAAGCTAAGTTAAAAGAGCTTTACAACAAAGCAACTCAGCCTAGAGAGTTGAGAACCTGCATGTCCGTAGGATAAGCACAATAGCTAGGCAATGATCAGACAATCAAGTTTGCCAAATAGCTAAGCATTTTAAGGCCCTGATTCTTCAAGTTACTCCGTATGGGCAGATATCATTAGACTGTAAATTCTGACCCTTAGTTGTGAGTAGGACTCCATAATTTTTACTTCCTATGCACTCACCTAAAGGAATTTAATTTTTCTTTGAATCATATACTGCTACATCTTAACTGGAGACAGTAATATTGTTTTGCACACATCAACTACAAATAATAAAATAAAATACATTTTAAACTGCAGAAATTCTGGCAAAAAATTAAGCTCTTTTGTGTTCTACCATCTAAAAAAGAGCATCATTAAATACCTGTATATTCACATTTTCATCCAACTTTTTTTGAATGACTCTGAAGGAATTACAACACTTTTTAATAAAATAAAAAATACACTGGACCTACATTCTGGTAGCAAAGGCAAACATTTTATTATTCATCTGTACAAGAGGTCAGAGGATCTCAGTAACTCTACTGAGTAGCACTGAATACAGTAAAACTCTGGGTAACTACAAAAAACGAGCTGTAATTCTGTAGAACAATTTGCAAACTGTATCTATCTATATATAGACAAGATTTTCCCCAATACCGTGAAATTAACAAAACTTTAAAATACTTTTTTTTTTTTTTTTTTTTTTTTAAAGAAAAGAAGTTTAATAGCATAGTCCTACAAACCCTTCTTCTTGGGAATACTCAAACGAGTAACTACTGATTGCAGAGTGAGAGAGAGGACTACCCCTGGCGGCAAGGGTTTGCAGGTCTGGGTCTTATATACAGAAATAATTTTATCTTCATGACAGATTTTTTTTTAATAAACTCCTATGAAAGTACAAGACTTAAAAGAGTGGAACATTTCTAAACAAAACAGTAACTGGTATAAGACTTGTTTCCACCAAAGTGCTGCACTAAACACTACTAGCCACCTTGCATGGAAAAATGCTTCTGGCCAAACTATCCAACAGCTGTCTAATAATTATGTGGTTGTGTCTAAGATGGTGAGTTCTCATTAGCAGTAACCATCAAAGCAGCTCTTCATTACAGGCACTTTTCCATACAGGGCTAGTGCAAAGAGAAACTGACTAGCAGTGAACATTAGCTCACTGAAATAATCTGAAACCTCCAGTCTTTGCAGTCTGAGTCTCATATGAATCTTCTTAATTAAAGTCAGGACTACCTCAGTGTAAACATTACATCAGTATAAATGAGAAGGGAATGAGAAATCAGTGTCAGGCCCCTTGCATATGACTTCCAATGAAATGAGGAGCTGATTAAAATTCCATTGGTCTTGCCCACTGGGAGTCTTTTCATTGACTTCACTGGACTTTGTACTAGTCCCTAATGTGAAAGCACAGATACACCAGGTCCTGCAGTTTTAAGACTGCAGGGCATACATACATATTTTAAATGCTAGCTTACTTATTATGCTTTACCATTGGCATTTGAAGAATTACTTACTCCCAACGGTTCCTAAAATCCTAATAAAACCCTTCTATAAAGCTTCCTACTAAAACAAAGCAGGGATTTTAAGTTATATTCAAGCTAGAACAATTTTCAGTGGAGATCTTCATCTTCACAATAGGAGAAAACCTTTTTTTCTTAAAATACAATTGTATCTCAATCACACCATTGTGACTTGCTGGATATGAACCACTAATTCAATTCTAAATAAAGCGTATAGTACAATGATTATCTAGTCCATTTCAACTTGTACACCACTTAATAAGAGAGAAGTCCTCTCATGGACCGTAACTCCTTCCCATACCAATTCCCCACAACTTGATTATCACTTATTCCATTCTGCAGACCCAGAGGCAATGGTAGGAAGCACACAAAGGGTCACGTGCCCCATGAGATTTTAGCCAGGGTTCATATGTCCCTCCATTGCATGCCATCAGAACATTCAGACCCCAACTATCAACAGTTCTGTGTAATCTCTGGGCAGACCCATCAAAGAAGGTGTCATCTGAGGACCATATTTTAATTACACATTTTCTATCATCCTCTTCTCTACAGTTTACAACATTATCAAATCACATAACTTTACTAGTATCAACCCTGATCTATATTTTTTAAAGACAAAGTTTAAGATTCCCAAATTATTAACAGAAGTGTTCTCAAGTTTTAAATGACTAATAAATACATTTTAATATAAAATTGTAGAAAAATCACTTCCTCTTGTATTTTACCTGCCAAATCTATTACATTTTTCATTAACTGTGACTATTATTATTTGTTCAGCCCATTGTACCAACACAGAACTATTTGCAGTTATGGAGTATGTAGGCAATAATCAAATGTATTCACAATTTTAATGTCATGTGGCACTTTATGGTAATGATTGGGTATCTCAAAATTTGTATGCATTTATTTTAAAAAGCATTTCAGTTCATCTTTAGATAATGAACTTCAAAGATTTGTTTTAATTGTATCAATAACAGGGCACATTTCTGCAAAGTGGTAACTTCTTCCAGCTCCCACTGAAGAAATGGGAGCTCACTGTGCTTGGGAGAATTTTGACACTGTGCAGAATCAGATCTACAGATGCATTAGAGTGACTGGGACCATCGCTATGAAAGGAAAAACTATTTTCAAACATATGCTCTGAAAGCAGCGGTGGAGTTCGCTTTCATCATTTGCATCCCTGAAGTATCTTTAAATGATGGCATCATGTTCATCACTGTAACAGAAACACAGTAATTATTATTTTGCAAAAGCATCAATAATCTACAGCATAATATCAAAAGTTTCAGAATATCATTATCCACTTTACTGCTAGGAAGGTTTATTGGCTAATAAAAGGCACTCATTCTGGCAAGTGCTGAATACCCAAAATAGGGATGTTAAATTTTGTTGAATCAGCTAATTGAGTAGTTGATGGAATTTCCATTGACTACTCGATTAGTCAATAAGGGGCAGGTGGGGTGCTCACTATCCTGGGTGCACCTCAGCCTTTTAAATGTAGTAAGAGATGGCTCTTTAAAAGGAAGAAGAGCAGAGGGGAACACGGGGCAAGCGTGTTCTGACTGCGGCGCATCAGACTTTGGAATGTAGCAAGAGCCCTGTGGGTTTTGGTGGCTGACTGTCTTCTTATAATCAATAATTTTGAAATGTTATCAGACAAAACAATTCAGTTTGTTTAGCCTGATTTTTCTCTGGAAACCTGTATTGCTTCTTGGTTACAGTTGTGTTATCCTTTCTGGCCTAAACTTTTAGAAGTGCTGAGCATCTGAAACTCTAGTTGAAGTCTAGGTGCTGTGTAAACAAGGCTCCTGACAATTCTTCTGATTTTCTCCAATTTCTTCTAGATTTGGACTTAAAGTTGTCAAATGGCACCACTGCCAGGGCACCACTTCAGATACACTTGGTTTTTCTCCTATAGGTTGAAACTCTCTTAACTGGGATTCCCTAGTCCAGCAAAATATATGGTCTGGAACGAATGTTGCAGGATCAGAGAGTCCTGGTGAATGGCCAGCAGTGTAATGGGCTGCCTGCAGTGAGCTGACGACGGGCCATCCAGCGCGTGGCAGGTCTGCTCACTGCAGGCAGCCCATTACAGAGACAGGCATGTGGCTGCCCAGTAAGGCTGAGAGCCGCGGTAGCTCAGGGAGGCAGGGATCCACAGTGTGCGCCTAGCTGCCCAGCAGGACCCAGAGCCTCAGCCCGGTGCAACCTGAAGCCACAGCAGTGATGTGTCCAGCGGAGTCGGCAGAGCAACGGGGCAAGCAGGAGGTGAGGAGGTCACTGGAAGGCCAGAGGGGGCGCTGGCAGCAGGGGGTCCAGACATGACCTCCCCATGTCTGGCCAAATCCCTCACCCAGGACCAGTGAGGTCCCGAGGGTGCTGGACCAGGAAGGTCCAACCTGTTCTTTTCTAATACTTTTCCAGTTATCCACACCTTTTTCAAAAGAGATTTTACTCATTTGATAGGTTCATTAACCAGCTCTTAACATCAGGGGAAAAATTCGCTCAGATTCACTAACTGGCATAACGTACATTCCAATCTAGGAAGTACCTCATTTTACCTGCTTTTTATCAATAGTTATTCTGACAATGTGGTCATTATTTCCTAAGCATCAACACCTATCTAATGAGAAAAATCAAGACAAGACTGTTTTTTAAAAGTATCAGTGATCAGCCAGGAGTACTGCACCGAGTGGTTTTCGTGAAACGACAGGAGCAACTATCACTACAGTGCTTTGAAATGCAGTATTGCCAACTCCAAATTTCATCACGACTTTCAAATTATATGATGCTATTCTCAAAGCCCAACCCCTGGAGTCATGTGAGTACATGAGGCATCCTAGTTTTCATTTGAAACAAAGAAGTTTCCAGCCCCCATTGCTGTGGAGAAAAGATGAAAAGACACTAATCAAAAGATTCCAAAAACAAAAGGCAAATAAAGAATGCCCATTTTTAAAAAAATCATGATTTTGGAGCTATTTTTATATGGTGTGGCGGGACTTCATACATGATTTTTGAAGACTTAGAATTGGCTACACTGGGAAAGGAATGGCTGAAAATAAGAGTTAGTAGATGACTCTTGCATGCGGTTCTTTATTTGGAGGGGGCTGGATGAACAGCAGAGTGTTGGAAGATAAAAATGAGGGGGTAGAGTTATAACTCGATGGATCCTGTGATCAACAAACAGATGTCAAAAGAGGGAGAGATACCAGAATTCCCTGACACTATCAAGTTCCAACAAGTCAGCTCAAGTAAAACAAAAACCACCAATTGACATGGAGAATGGAAACCAAAGGGAGTACGGCTGTGGTGGGCAACCTGTGGCCCATGGGCTGCATGTGACCCTTGGGGCTCTCTGCGTGTCTTGTGAGACATTTTGTTTATTGTTGCTCACGTGACACGGCTGCCAGATTCCACTAGTTTCCGTCTGCATAGTTTTTTCCTACCAGTATTACTAAATCGACAAACACCTAAAGCAAAGGCATGTGAAGTGAGGCTTGCGCTGACTGCACACCATTGACTGTGAGAGCTGGGCACTCCCTCTGAACCCAGTCAAAGTGCTACTACAATTCAATTGGCACCTCCTGCAAATTCCAGGCATGCAAGTGCAATGAGCAAAACCACCCATCTTGGGAGATTGTCTGGGTTATGACAATCTTGCGGCTCATTGAGATGAAGAATGGCCACTCAAGTGGCCCACTCACTATCACTGGAGTAAAGCAGTCTAGTGTAAAGATGTCTCAACTTCTGACCAAGCGGGTCTGATACCCCAGGGTGAAATTTTAGTTTGGACAGAAATGCACAATTAAAAAAAAAAAAGAGAGAGAGAGAAGAAGGCATCTTAGTAAGAAAAGCAAAAGACATTCTCTTAACCTATACATCTGAAATATGTCCTGACAAAAAAGTGCAGTCAAAATAGCTATTATTCCAAGGGGTAACATACCCTAATAAGCCAAAAAACATGCAGTAGCTTGATCAGTAATTAAGAAACAAGTACTGCATGGGATTAAAAAAGAAAGCAGAGGTAAGTAATCCTAATAAGTGACTCTACAACAAGGAAACCAGTCTGTAAATTATAGCAC